CTCGAATCCCAGCTCAGCCATGAAACCCACTGGGAGACCTTGGGCAAGACAAACTCTCTCAGCTTCAGAGGAATGCAATGCCAACCTCCTCTGGACAAATCTTGCAAAAAAAAATACCCATGATAAGTTCACTCTATGGTTGCCATGAAGCCCATCTGGTAACCTTCAGAAAGTCACATTCTCTCAACCTCAGAGGATGGCAATGGCAACCTCCTCTGAACAAACCTTGCCAAAACAAACCCAAGATAAGTTTCCCCAGTCGCCATGAATCCCACCTATTAGCCTTGGGAAAGTCGCATTTTCTCAACCTCAGAGTAAGGTAATGGCAGCCTCCTCTGAACAATCCTTGCCAAAACAAACCTGTCCTGTTTACCTCTTCCGAGGACAGCACCGCAGAGGAGTAAGCGAAGAAGTAGTCAAGAGTCCATTCCAAAAGTCATGCAACAAGATTCCAGTACTTAACAGCAAAGGGAGATGCAGAAGCATAGTCACAAGGCAGTTCCAGAGGTCAGAAAACAGGAGTCCAATAGCAGAGAACAGGATACACAGCAACTAGGGAAGCTACAAGACTGATTGTTGGCTGCAGGGAATCATATCATATGGAGCCTTTTTAAAAGCTTCAGCATGCGATTAGCTCTCCTTTTGGTTTCTAGCCTAGATGAACACCTCAAGGATTCCTTGAGGCCAAGAATGGGAATCTCTGTTGAATGTGCCACACATAGGTTCCTTATCCAGCCTACAAGCTTCTGCTGCTGGTATAGTATTTAAGAGACATTTCAGGTTTAGGGACACTGTATAGAAGTGAACTGAACTTGGCAGGCAGGAGACCCATTGAGTCATGCCTTGCAGGAAGGCAACAATTTGTACTAGGACTTACCTCTAAATAGATATACATAGAATTGAGCTGTGATTCAAATGCTTATTGGGGAAATGGCCCAACTAGTAAGAATTGGATCTAGTCTGACTCAAACATGCCTTGGCCCTACTTACTCCAATCTTGAATTCTGATATGTAAAACAGATATGCCTTTAGCTCTCAAACTCTGCTGGAATATAGTTCCAGAGAAGAAGAGGGTTATGCAGCAGAAGGTTTTTTTGGTATATGATTGAATGGCAGTATAAAATACTTTGAATAAACAAAGGTTTGTGTGTGTGCACATGTATGTGCGTTCAAGTTGTTTCCAATTTATGGTGCATGCCTCCCGAATGGATGGCAGAACCTATCACAGGGAGGTCTTGGTAAGATTTGTTTAGAGAGGGTTTGACTTTACCTTCCATGTTCTATGTTTCACCTGATTAACAAAGGTTTACAATGATTAATTCCAAATATGACCCCTGAGCTCCTTGTAACTTACTCATACCCTCCAACATTTCATATATAAAAACCAGGACACAGTTGGTCAAGCAATATCAGAGTGTGGTCTAAATGGCAAAAAATATATATTAATAAGGTAGTACAGAAGATCTAGGAGAGCCGGCAGTAGTTTGCTTCTGTCCCCCTCCCCCC